TCAGTTAGAAATACCAAGGGTTCACACAAAACAAGGGGAGTCTGTTTTTAGTTATTATGCCCCCCGCAGTTGTAATCAGCTTCCAGAAGAGATCAGATGTGCTAAAACATTAGTCACATTTAAATGCAGACTCAAAACTCATCTGTTTAGCTGTGCATTTATTGAATGAGCACTGTGCGATGTCCGAACTGATTGCACTATATTTTATGTATAATCGTTTTCTATTCTTAACCGTTTTAAATTCATTTTAAACCTCTTAAATCAATTTTTTAATCATTTTCAAAGTTTTTAAATTCCTTGTTTTATTGTTGTGATTATTTTTTTCTTTTCTTTTATGTAAAGCACTTTGAATTACCATTGTGTATGAAATGTGCTATATAAATAAACTTGCCTTGCCTGCCTTGCCTAAGTGGCGTTTATCGGTTTTTGCAAATTAACTAATTAAATATTTATTTATTTATTTATTTACTGTATACTGTATATTGTCACATTTTTTGTATTGCAATACATATTGTGACACAATATATTGATACACCGCTATTTTTTCATTAGTTCATATTAATTGAAAAATATCAACTGCTCTTTATCTACATTTGATTACACAATGCACAGTATGCTTGAAGGCAATAGCAAGCATTATGTTGGGTCAGTGGCTGTGATGGATCAGTAAGCTAAAAAAAAATCGATGGAGTGCATATTTGGATGATTTCTGATATGCATTTCTCTTATGGACATTTGCATTACTGAATTCTCTTTTGGATTTCTGTTTTAAGCAAGAGCTCTGATAGCTGTTGAGAGCTGTTAACTTCACTTTGAACTGTCAGGTTATTCTCTCATTGACTCTGCAGATCTGCGCACTGCAGCACTGCTGCCCATCCTGCATATTAACAGAAAAAGGAAGAAAAATGTGCCTCAAACTGGCTGAATTTAAATAGTATTAATGTAATAGTATTATAGTAATTTATTAAAGGTAATAAGTGCAGCGCTGCTTTGTTTACAGCGGAAACCAAGGAAATGCTTTAAGCGCCACCTGCTGGCAGAGAGTGAATTTGCGTCTCATTCAGCTCGTCTGCTGTTTCTGTTTCATACAGATATTTTTTATGCATAGTTTCACAAAACTGAAGTCAAACCATTCTGTTTTTGCTTCAAATTTCGAAATTATACAATGTAATTTAGATTAAAAACTGCTCATGTTGCATGTATGCAGCATCTTTGTTTGGATCATGATTAAAATGCAGTGGTTGCCTCTAATTTTAAATGGAAAGAGCACAAACAAAGCCTTAGTTTGTTTATATGAAGAGATTTCTTTTATTTGTTGTGTTTTACTTGTTTTCTCGTGAATCGAATCGAATCGTGAAATCAAAATCGTGAATCGAATCGAATCATGAGTTGAGTGAATCATTACATCCCTATTTATAAGTATTATATGCTACTCTAAGAGCTGTTTTAACAGTTTGATCCGTGTTTATTAATTATGATCAACTTTTGTATATAAATTTTGCATGTTTGCTTTTTTCTGTTGTCAAATGTCTAATATGATGTGATATCAGAATCATGATCACCCCCTGAATAAGGGGTCAAAGTGAGGTCATGCATGAAAAGAAAATGAGGAGGGATATTTATTCTGGGGAAGGGCTCGAGGGCAGGCCGTTGATGTACTTTGCTGTGACTGCATGTGGAGAGATGCATCGTTCCTGCATAATTCAACAGCCTTTCATGGAATAATGTATAAGAAAATCCCTCTCTTGCTCATTTCCTGTGAAAAGCACAGACATAAATGATGCATTACCAATATTTTGTCTCATACACATATTATTATGTAATATTAAAAAATCTATAATTTTCATTTTACCACTTTAAAGATCTGCTGAAAGTTTGTTTTTTTAGATGCTATTTGTATGTATTATAGAAATAGTGCAATGCACCAATGACTTGATCAGGAGTCTGTTTGGTGTGAGCTGCTCTGGCATTGCTATGACATCCAATCCTGTATTTGAGAGGCCAGTGTAGTGTATAGAGTTACCGCGCCAGTGCTTTGTAGCGACAGTCCATCAATGTTACCCAAAGTGTTGGGAAATGGTCCCTATTGTGAGCATGTAACTGATAACTGTCCATCTCATTAGACTCTGGTAATGTTTAACTGATAACAAAACCACATCTAAATGAAAATGTACTTTTTACTGTTTTTATAATCCTTGTTTTATATGCTGTTAATGAATCAAGTCATGTCATATATTTTCATATGTGCCTCATTTCTGTTTTAATGGCTCATGCAACACAGTTTTTTCCTTTTAAATGTATTTTATACAACACTTGTGAATAATTTCTGTGCTTCTGGATTTGACAGCCCCCTCATGAACCGTGTAGGAGGTAGCTTGAAGTTCACTTCAAGAAATACTGTAAAAGATATAGCTGAAAACATGACTTACACCTTTATTGCCATGAGAAAAGGCTTTGCTGATACTTATATCTAAAACGTGTATAGAATCTAGATTTATATCTAAATGATTTAGATTTAGTTCCTGCATGATGGATTTCACTGTAAATAGGACCTGAAGTGCTTTAAGTTGCTCATAAATGCATCTGATTTCTCTGCACAGTTTCCCAAATGGTGATCGAGGAGGTGAATGTGCTACAGACCCAGCTCGAGATTGAGAAATCGTGCCGGGAAAATGCAGAGGCTTTGGCTACCAAGGTGTTTACCCAACAATACTGTCCCCCTGTTTCAATAGAAAACCTGGTAGCACTTTACAATAAGGTTCCATTTGTTAACATTAGTTAACTACAATAGTTAACATAAACTAACAATGCATCACTTAATTACTTAATGTATCAACTATAGTTAACAAAGGGAACCTTATTGTAAAGTGTAACTGAAAATCTTAATGATTTTATCAGTTTATTTGGTTACACTTTATTTCGATAGTCCACTTTAGACATTCTACTAACTATAAGTAACTTTGTAACTACATGTCAACTACATGTCAACTAATTCTCATTAATTTGCATCTACATGTCTACTAACTCTCAGAGTAGACTGTTAGGGTAGGTTTAGGGTTAGTAGAATAAGTTGACAAAGAAAGTGTTAGAAGATATTAAGCAGACAGTCTACTAATACTCTACTAACTGCTAGTTGACATGTAGTTGCAAAGTTACTTACTGTTAATAGAATGTCTAAAGTGGACTATCGAAATAAAGTGTTTGTTGACATCTTTCAGCTTGTCATTTATTTTTACTATAAAGCAATATAAGTATGAAAAAATCAGTCAACATGGTTATAAGTGTTGAACCCAAATAGAGATCTTTTGCAGAACGTACTGGCTGTGAATTTGAACTTGAGATTCAGATTAATCTGATTCATAAATGAATCTTTCAGAACATTTTTGTTCAATTTTAGCACAATGTAAAATAAATAAATAAATACAAATCTGTTAAATATACTGTACAGTCAATAAAAAGCAGTTGTGGTGTACCAGAACTTTACCATGAGAAAACGGGAGCAACATTTGAAGTTTTACAGAATTGAATTAAATTTACAGTAAAAAACACATATTTAATTAAGTGAAATGGTAATATTCCAAATGACTAAAATCAGTTTTTTACTGTTTTAAAAACATAGTTATTTCAACGAAAACCCATCTAATGTGAGCTGTCAGAGAATCAGTGTTAGTTTATATTGTTTTTCTGTAGATTGTAATGTATTTTTAAAAAATATTTTACTGTAAAATTACATGAAATATCCCATTAGATCTTGTTACAGTTTTTCTCTGTATTTAACCACTTAGCAGGTTTTTACCATGTTATTTTACAGTCTTTTACTGTTAAAATTACATTTTTTTTTTTTATAGTGCAAGCATAGCTATGGCAAATGCCAAACTTCAAATATCACTAATTTAGGGCGTTAATAATTTTGTTTTGACCTCTTTTAGTTGAACTGTGAGAACAGGAAGCTGAAGTATTTGAGCCTGTCCTCACGGCCGTGTCTGGACGAGCTGCTGCCCAGTATTTCTGACTGCATTTCCCTAGAAGAAGAGACTGACACGCAAGATCCTGGCTCTGATCCTTTTTCACAGTATAAGCAGCAGGTCAAAGGTAAATATCATAATGAATCTCATAAAACTATGCACAGTTTCCTTGGCCAAGCATTCTGTCATCATATATATCAAGGGTACGTCCATTGCAACCTCTGATTTTTCCACAGATCTCCAAGAAACCGTGAGTTCTTTGCTGGAGGAGAAGAAGCAGTTGACCTGTCAGCTTCAAGATCAGCAGAGGCAGATAGAGGAGCTGACAGCACTCGTGAGTAGCAAAGCAACACTTGAACTTTTTACTCAAATCGAGCTCAGTCGGGCATGATGGCAGTGAATGGGGGCTTGGACTGCAATGTGTGCTATTTTAACCTGTTAATGAATAATAAATAAGCTTGAAATGAAGCCTTGGAGACCTGCGGTATTGCTGATCCTAAAAGGATACCGAAGTAACAATGTCTAATTGAGTTTCTTAGCTGAAACATGTGCCTCATGTTAATTTACAGACTGAAAAGGAGCAGGCCGAGATGAAGGAGCTTCATAAAACCATTGAGCTGCAAAGCAAGACCATTAAGAGGTTCAACAGGGGTGAGTACGGATGTTATGAACACAGAGCTGCTTCATTTCCTCACTTGTATTCAAATGCATGAGCTTGACATCATCTCAAACGGCCTGCAGTGCATCTGTGCATGTGCCTTCCAAGAAGATTAATGTTCCCCACGAGCCCACTCACTACCGGCTGCATGTCACAGTCCCCGATCAAATTATCTGTAAAAGATTCACCACAGGACGTCCCTCTCTTCCAGCTGGGGGTGATGCACTTTGTTTTGACATCCTCCCAGCTCCCTCTTTGCTCATTTGTGTTATTACTCTGAAACTGTATAGCTCAAGTCAAATGCTGCACTGGCTTATGCTGAACTTGTTCTGCACATGCTCACCCTTTAGTGGATTGAATTTTGTTTTGTTTGTTTTAATGACAATTTTGCCTATGAAATTTGATGGAAGTAGCCATGATATAAAATAGGTGATTTATGCAGACATGTAACTGTATATTAATTAAGTATATATACATATAGCCTATATTTTTGTGTGAAGTCACATTGTTATTTAGAGCTTGGAACCAAGAATTAGTTCTTGTTTTGAACCAGTTTTTGTTTTATATGCAAGAATGCCATGACAGTGAAGAGACAATACCACCAATTTCTATTATGAGCTGGTTCTTTGTAATGAAAAAGTCTAAAAGGCATAAAAAGTTTATACCGTTCAGAAGTTTCAGGGTCAGTAATTTTTTTTTACTCTTATGCTCCCCAAAGCTATATTTATTTAATACATTTATTTAATGCAGTAATTTACATTTTAAATAGCTGTTTATTTTCACATGATCCTTCAGAAATCATTCTAATATGCTGATTTGCTGCTCAAGAATATTTTTGTGAAAATATTATTCCGTTTTTTTTCCAGGATTCTTTGATGAATAGGAAGTTCAAATGAACAGCATTGATGTGAAATAGAAAACTTGTAACATTTAGGTTGTTGCCTGTAATACTGTCTTTTATAATATGTTTTTGTATTATACCCTAAAAGGATTTTGCCAGGTTTATTGCTTTAGTAGAATGAATCAGGTGTCATTGTTTATCTCTTTAGTGTCTATGATGGCCACTCATGAGTATGAAAACATGAAGGAGCAGCTGGATTTGGAGCAGAGCCTCAGGCAGAAAGCAGAGACCTATGCACATGAGGTACAGAACAAAACACATCTGAATTCACTGCATCAATACAACTTAAGTCCCCGCTCTGACAAACTCTGACCCGGTGACCTCAAAATCCAACCTAAAGAGAAGATAAATGGATTTATTGACTGATGAGTATGAATTGTCCTTGACTCCCTGCATCAATGTAGTATGTTTAACATCTCTTAATAGCTAAAGAAGAAAAATTAAGTTGTTTCCTAATGTTCATTTTCCCCTGTAGATGATGGTGAAGCAGAAAGAAGCAAACAGACAGAGCATGATTCTGCTGCAGCAAGCAGATCCCAGCATGCAACTGCTCAACGCTTTAGAAGATGTGGCCAGTGTGACCAAAACATTAGAAGAATTGAGAATACAGCACCAAGAGAAGGTAGGTGAAGCTTCAAAATTGAATTTGAATTTTATGTGCAAAACTATAGTATAGGTTTTCAGTTTTATTAGCTAATGACAACAAAAAAAAAACCATCAGTGAAAGTTTAACCATATTTGCATGAACACAATAAACCTAATCATTAATTGCATGATAGGATTAGACAACTACTAAACCCCTTTTCAGTGTGTTTAACACTGTCAGCTAGAGGTTTTCATAGACTTAAATCCTTTCATAAATATTAATCCTCTAATATTCGTTTTTTTTCTTAAAATCTTAATTAAAATATTCAATAGCCACACAAATCCAGTTTAATTAGGCACTAAATAGCGCTGTGCATTCATCTGACTTACCTAATGTTAATCATTAAAAGTGTTCTAATAATGTAATAACCTTCAATAAATGTAATCTTCAGGAAATCTCAAACAGATCATTTTATACTGTAAATTAATGCCAGAATTCAATTGCATTTAAATGACTGGTTTTAGTTTTTAGGGCCAGATTTAGTAACCAGCACAAACCCTACTGGCAGGATTTACTAAACACATTCAGTGATAAATTAGTGATGAAAAGACGTGGACACAATTATTTTTTACGGCTGATCTTATTGCATATGCATTTGTAGGAGGACAGTATTTAAATGAATCATGAAAAGTGATTTACTAAGGTTTGCGATAGACAAATTTCTGGTATTTGCGCCATTATTTAAAGGGGTCCTATTATGCTCTTTTACAAAGTCGTTGTAGTTTTTGAAAAGTGATTTCTGTTAAATAAAATATCTCCTTTTGAAGTGGACTTTGAGCTTTTTAACTTTGCAGATCTTCTTTATGCTCAAACAGCAATATTATAGACTAACTAAAGTTGAAAATGTGAAAAAGCATAATAGGATCCCTTTAATGCCCAAAAATGCATGCAGAGCTGAGTAGATTACTTACAAATTGTAGTCTGTTACTGATTCCAAATTACATGACAAAAATTTTAATTATTAACGTAATCCGTTATATTACACATTTTAGGTAATATAATCAGACTACTTTTAGATTACTTTTGACATAACTCGTTTATTACATTTCGGTACCCCACAATGTCTTGTAACACAGTACTTTTCTTAGGGTCTTCTGTGGGTCTTCTGTTCTGCACTTGCAGCCTCAGCAGTAACATGTAATATTTTTGAAACCACATTAAATGATAAACGCATGTGGGTGTTAGACTGTCAACACAACCACAACTATATTAAACCAACACAAATCTCGAAGCACCAGAAGAGACATCCGGAGGCTTGACAGCTGTCATAATTAGTAGATTCATTCAGCATCTGTCTGTCATATATATAAGCTGTGGCAGCAAATCAAGAATTTGCAGATCATCTGATACTCATTACACATGATAGTTACCGCAATCTGAGCAAACTGGATGAGCAAGGAATGAGATGAGGCAATATTCGGTTCATGGAGTGGCAAAATTGTAGCATCACTAGTACTAGTACTGCTTTTGGTGGCAAATGGGATTTAGTGTCATCAGTCAATATACAGTCTGACCCACAATTGAAATCCAAAGAGCATGGATCCTAACTTCAGACGTCATGTAATCAATAGGCTGTGTTAGCAAAGCCATGTTTACAAGTCAGCCTGTAAATATGAACTAATTCTGTACCAAAGTCAAGGGCGGTTAACATTTGGCACCAGTTTGGGTTCCATTTGAGTTCACTGCACCAATCCAATCCAAAAGAATGACAGATTTCCACAGGAACAAATCATTTAAATGAAACATTTATGGTAATTTCATTTATTATTTTTTTTTTATATTGGTGCGTTCAAGATTTCCTGAGAACTTCATATTTGCAAGCTGGGAAGTGAGGTGTGTTCAAATTACTTTGGTCAGAGCAAGATGGTATAGAAGCTGGTTTTCGCCACTGAATAAAAAATGAAAAATTTTGATTGTGACTTTTTAACTAACAATTCTGACTTTTTTTCTTACAATTGCAAGTTTATATTTCACAATTCTGATTTTATAATTCACAATTGTGTTTGGAAGGATTTTTCTAGTCAACTAGTTGCACGTTTATATTAAATTGATTAATATAATAATTACTAAACCATCCTTTAGGCATATAGGCGTGTATAGCCTATTCCGTGCCCAAGCGCGTGCATAAAGCTTCCCACAAAGCACTGGCAAAAGCAATGATTATGAATGTGCCCGTGGAAAATAAGATATTTTAATTATTTATTAATAAACTAGTGCTTTCTCAGTCAGTGTCAGCTGCAAAGATGAAGTTGCCGACGCGGATTCATCATCTCCACATGTAATGGAAATGCCTTTAATAAATGCACCTTTGATTATACAGACTACTTAGAGAATATTTTTTTTATTATTATTGGTTCTTCAATAGTAGACATTTCGAGATTTTTTTTTTCATAGATTTAATTTTTGTGAGGCAAGTAGGCGGTTCATTGTTGTGACGGGCAGAAAGCGCATCCTGTTTATTTTCTCTATTTTACAAAAGCTCAACATTTTGTTGTTATTGTGAGTGTACATAAATAATAGCGCACAGCAAAATCCCCAGAGTTAAATCAACTCTGCTCAGAGTACATATTGTCCCAATCTACAGAGTGTTAAAGTAACACTGAAGCAGAGTTACCACTGTTGAAGATTGTGTGGTAAGTTTTCATGTCTAAAAGCCTGAGCAGTAGTTGTTCATCTTCAACATTGTTAACAGCGAGTTTTCTTTACTAATGCTCACTTATCAATTAAATAATTGCTTAATTATCCCATTAACTTTAACTCGGTTTCAGTGTTACTTTAACACTCTGTAGATTGGGACAATATGTACTCTGAGCAGAGTTGATTTAACTCTGGGGATTTTGCTGTGCAGGAATAGTTTTTTACGAATGATGAAGCCTAATAGGCTACTCTTATCTGTATGACCAAAAATGACGGAATAGCCTAAAATGCAAGGGATTGCGGGGGTGCCTCCATGTCATGCAGTAAACGCGATAATACTCCCACACTTCTCATAAACACTTGATATGCACATCTATTGCGCATATTAATCTAAATTAACGTCAGAGTGAACCGCCATATAGCAGCCCTACTCCTTTGTCCTTTCCATATGTGAGAGATCATGTGAGAGATCTTTGTCCTGTCTCCTACACTATAAGACATATCTGAGAAGCAGCTGTGGCGATGCCCAGCAGCTTGGCACATTGGCCATCAATACACAGAGAGCGAAGACTCAGGTTTGAGACAAGTATATCCCCAGTGCTTTTTGATGTCATATTGCCTTTGACTCAAATTCTGAAATAATGCTTGTTCAGTGAATTTTAGGTGGACTGTACAAAAATATCTGGGAACTGACTGATCTATAGGCTACTTGTTTCATTTCATAAAACGAAAAATTGTAATTAAATTGTGATGAACCAAATAATCATGTAATAAAATGTCACAAAATCGAGTGGGCGATTTAGGCTATTTTATTAATAATATTAATAATAATAATAATAACAACAACACATTTTGGTCATATTTACTATTAATTGCCCAGCTCCCCCTGTCAATGATCTAGCACTCCTTCAGCACCTGCGTTCAAAATTCTCTGGCGCCGGCCCTGAATACAGACGATACATCCATTGTGTCCGACATGTTTTTTCACTGACACATGCCTGATTTTCCTACTCGTTTGACATGTGCATTCAACTCGTAAATACACTTTTCCCGACTTGAACTCGCCATATGTCCCATTTGTTTGCAGGTAAAAGCTCTAGAGGCTGAACTGGAAGAATGTGCTTTGCGTAAGCAGCTAGTTCAACTGCACAGACAACTGGAGATATTAGACGAAGAAAAAAAAGAGACCGAGGGCCACTTTACTGCGCTGAAGCCGAGCTGTCATACACAATCATTAAGAACGGTGCTGTTGAACATCTAATTGCATCTCTCTGTTTACGGCAGCTCTCTCATTGCCATCATGAGGAAATCTTCCAAGGGAGGTAAAGGAACCCCCAAACTAGAGCAAGCCCCAGGTGATTGTACCTACAGTCAGAACAGTGTATTTTTATTCTGTTGCCCTATTATTAATATCTGGACAAACACATTCTCTTTCGATGCAGTAAATGAAGCAGTGAACGATGTCAAAGTCAAAGCTGTGAATGAAATGATGGAGAGAATTAAACACGGCGTGGTTCTCAGGCCTGTGAAGAGTCAGGACACTAAGGTGAGTTTTTGAACCCGGACCAAGATTCATAGTTTAATTGACTCCCTTTATGAGTTTTGAGTTTGAGTCAAATTGGCCACACCATTTGGAATGACAGGAAGAGGAATTTACTGTGTCGCAATTCAAAAAAATACAACACAGTCACATAGCATAGTGTTTTAATTTAGCCAAAACAACTAAATTGGTGAGGAAAAAATAAATTAAGGTTTAAGGTTTCCATTTGGTGAACCTGCTTTGTGTTGTTTGGCTCTATTTTGAAGACTTTGAGGTACATTTTAGCATTCTATGAAACTGAGTGTTTTTCCTTCATGGTCTATAAAATAAATGTTCATTTTTTTAATATAATGAAATTTGTATAGACTAAATACAAATATATTTCAATGTCATTTCAAACATTTACACTACCGCTCAAAGGTTTATGTCGGTAAGATTTTTTTATTTATTTATTTGTTTGTTTGAAAGAAGACTCTTATGCTCACCAAGGCTGAATTTATCTGATAAAACAAGCAGTAACAACAGAAATATTATTACAGTTTCAAATAACTGTATTCTAATTGAATATATTGTAAAATGTAATTTATTCCTGTGATCAAAGCTGAATTTTCAGCATCAATACTCCAGTCTTCAGTGTCACGTGATCCTTCGGAAATCATTATAATTTGATGATTTGCTGCTAAAAAAAAACATTTCTTATTATTTCCAGTGTTGAAAGCAATTGCGATGATTCATATTTCTCAAAAGAACAGCATTTATTTGAAATATAAATATTTTGTAACATTATAAATGTCTTTACTGTCACGTTTGATGAAATATGAACATACATATGCTGTGTGTTTGATAACATAGGTAGTTCATGCTGTAAAATAAACATATTATTAAAAAGTCAAATGAAAGCACTATTGTTGAGTACATTTGAATTTCAGTGATTCTAATTTCCAAATTAATGATCCTTTCTTAAATTCAAATTACACTTCTGTATGTTTGCACCTCGGTTTCAAGAAATGAATTGGAATTTAAAAGGAATTCTCACTCTGTTCTAAACGCTGCACCTGTAACACCCTCACATTCTTACATTCTTATGTGTGCACTGATCGATGATCTGTTTTCTCTACTCTGTACCATCATCTGCTGACCTCATCGTTGCAGAGATTTGGCACAAAGGTATGTTTAAATCACACATATTGTTTACAGTGTTTACCAACAATTATCACACTGCTCCGACCGCTCTGTTACAATCAAAACAAATCCTGTGTTTTACAACTCAGCACCATTTTGTCAATATAAAGACCCCGCAGAAATGGTTCATAGCATATAGTCATCTGAGGAAGGGCCGGGTCATTAAAGCATTTTGTGCATAGACAGTTGATGGGCTGAGAGGGGATCCATCTTGTTTAAGTTATTGATGGGCAAAACCACCGAGAGGGGCTGTATAACTTCTGATCAATAGCTATAGTCCTGATTTTAGAGATTGCCTGCTGCCCATTATGCTGCATACGCAGATTGTCTTTTGTTTTTGGCTTTCAGACATAAACTTAAAAACACCACATGCTGTAGCTGCTTGGTAGTAATTTAAGTTTTTGTAATGTTTTGGTGATCTATATCACCAGTGTTATTTCAGTATTATTCATAGAATTTTATAGTATTTAATAATATTTTGAATTAGCTTTTTTATATTTGAATTTTAGTTTATGTGTTTTTGTTATGTGTTTTTGTAATTTATATTATTTTTCTTATAATATTTCTGTTTAGCTTTTAATTTGTTTTTTTTTCATTTTTATTTTAGTAATTTTACTACAACGTGAATACAACATATTTATTTCAGTTACTTGACAACCCTAGTGAAAAATAAACATACTTAAATGTATTTGAAATACATTTATTTCATGCTAAGTATACTACAAGTACATTTTTATATTGATGTACTTAATAAAATGTCCTGCAATTGTGCTTTTAGTATACTAAACTGGTATACTTAAAGTTTGATAAACTGGAACAACTAATTTTGTACTTAGTGCACTTTAATTGTGCAGAAGTAGTGCTGAAGTACTAATAAAGACATACTGAAGTATATTTGATTGTGCTAAAGTGGAACTATTGCAAGTATACTTCAGGTACACTTTAAATATTTTGCATTTAAAGTCTGATATTATTCAAAGATCATACAATCCTCATCAATAGTGACATTAAAACACATTTTAGACTTAATATTAAGAAAAGTGCATTGTGAACAAATAATAAGCCAGGTAAAGTTTAATTATAATTTTTATATCAGCAAGTCTTGAGTTATCTGTCAGTAAATATGTTAATAGATTTGAACTATACTTTGTATGAAATAAATGTATTTTAAATATATTACTTTTTTTCTAGGGAAGTCAACATTTCTCATTTTAGTTTGCAAGTTTAAGTTTTTAACCTAATATATAATAACAATGATAAATAATAATATATATTATTTCAGCTTTATTTCAATTACCAGAACATTTTCAATATAATGTGATGATTTGCTGCTCAAGAAACATTTATTATTAATAATGTTGAAAACAGTTGTGATGATTAATATTTTTGCTCAAACCATGATACATTTTATGAACAGAAAGCTCAAAAGAACAACATTTATTTAAAATAGAAATATTTTGTAACATTATAAATGTGTTTACTTTCACCTTTGTTTAATTATTATTATTGAGTACCTCATAAGCTGTGTGTATGATTACATAGGTAATTCATGCTGTAAAACTAAACATTATTAAAAAGCAAAACTAAAGCAACACTTGTAATTAATTAGACTTCCAGTCATTCCAATTAAATTCTACTTTTTAAATTCAGATTACACTTCTGCATGATTGCAACTCAATTTCAAAAACTGAGTTGAAACAAAATTCTGATTCAGTTCTATTTATTTCATTTACTTGGCATGGCAACATTTCTATATTTAGTTTTTCAAGTTTTTAATCTAATATTTATATAATATTTTAGTTTTATTTCAATCACTAGCACATTTTTTGTCGTTTTAGTTAACAGTAACACCACTAAAAATCATGTTATTTGCTAAATATTTTATGATTTGGTCATAAAATGTAACTTGACTTTATTCCTGACCCACAGCAGCCGAGCCCAGTGGCAGCAGCAGCAGCAGTGGAGGAAAAGCACCAGGAAAGTGCAATGGAAGAGCTGAAAGGCATTCTGGTAGGCTTTCTGATTAACAGTTGCATGCCATTCAGTCACCTGATTTTGATTATGAGGCCAGCTATTGATCCACAGATTACAGAAAATTATCCATTTTCTGATTTTTGAAAGAAAAAAAAACAGTTAAATGATGATGATAATCTGTTCATTAGTGGTTGCAAGAATAAATAAATAAAACATGCATTTGCTCAGAAATGCCAGATTGCAAACTTAGCACTGAAACTTCGTTCATGAAATTCTCTTTTCTTTCTGAATCTATAGGAGACGGTGAAGAAGAGTCCCAGTCGTGGTTTCCAGGAAGTAGTTCATGCTAAAAAGGACAGTGAACTGGAAGTAATTCTGAGGAGGAGGCGCAAACAGGCCTGTGATCTGGACACAGAAGGCAAGAGGATAAACTCTACCCTTCAAGAATATATGAAACGCATACATTCACTGTGTATTTACTATTTAAACAGGAAGTGTGAAATTCTTAATTTAAGAATAAATTAAAATAGATTGCAGGTTTTAGTTCACAACCATGAACCTGCTACTTTCTATTGCTAGTGAGAGAATTAAGTTTGGGCAAAATGAGTGTAGAACAAAATTGGATTCAAAATTATTGAAAATACTCTAAGCAACTGGATTGAATAATGAACATCTCTCATCTGTTGCTCTGTAGATGATGGGCAGCTGAGTAAAGTCTCCTCATCAAACAGCCTGAACGGCCGACACAGTTCTGACTCTGGCAAAGACACAGAAGGGCCGGGAAGCAGCTCTCTGTCGGGCAGCGAGCGCGGATCAAGAACCAGCTCAGACTCGGGCCGAGAGCCAGCCGTGGCTCGACAGAGCTCCGATTCTGGCATGGAGACCAAAGGAGCCACTCAGACAGACAATGTCTGCAGATCTCTCTCTGAGAAAGAGTCCGCTGAACCAGTCACCAACGGGTGCTATTCAAGGTAAGGTTACGCTACGCTACTTGTTTGTTCGGCAGTGAACCACAATAAATCCTTTAAAGGAATAGTTCATCCAAAAAGGAAAACTTGCTTAAAAATGTCCTTACCCTCAGGCAATCCAAGATGTAGATGAGTTTGTCTCATCATAGGAACAGATTTGGAGTTATGTAGCATTCCATCACTTGCTCACCAACGGATCCTCTGCAGTGAATGGGTGCCATCAGAATGAGAATCTAAACAGAGCTGATAAAAACATCACAATAATCCACAAGTAATCCACACTAGGGCAGATGGCTCAAGATCGGCGATGTAGTATTTGGTTTCCCAACGAGGTCCATCGCCCAACACAAAATTAATTTGCTGAATGAAGAATAAACTGTATTTTCCTGCGCTCAAACCTGCCAGTCTAAAGGAAACGCTGGGTATGACGTTTGAGGTCATTTGTGAATTACCATAGACTTATAGTCTAAATAAAACAATTTGCAACTGTTACTGTTATTACACTTGTATACAAAACTTCGTATTATGCTTGTTATAGAGTGTGACATCACGTGCACTATTGTCGGTGGCAACCGACCACCGCGGTGACGCTGTTGCCACAGCGACCGTCACAGCCCTAATCCACACTTCAGTCCATCAAGTAACATCTTATGAAGTGAAAAGATGCATGTTTGTAAGAAACAAATCTATCATTTTAAATTTAAACCATCACTTCTGGCCAAAATATCAGTCCGGAATCCATAATAACACTTCCGCAGTGAAAATGTCAATCCCTATAGTCCTCTCACATTAGAATCCACTCACATGTTTGTTTAGAACTTATTAATCTGTTTTTGCTTGTAAATGATGTTTGATCTGTGCATATTTCTCTCCTGATTAAGACAACTTTTTCAAAGCAATTTTATGGATTATGTACTTGGTTTAAAGATCAAACGTCTTAGTAATGGATTTGTTTCTTACAAACACATCGTTTCACTTCTCAAGACATTAATTGATAGACTGGAGTGGTGTGGATTACTTGTGGATTATTGGGATGTTTTTATCAGCTGTTTGGACTCTCATTCTGACGGCACCCATTCACTGCAGAGGATCCATTGGTGAGCAAGTGATACAATGCTACATTTCTCCAAATCTGTTCCAGTGAAGAAATGAAGAAGAGTGAGGTCATTTTGTGTGAACTTTAAAATTGTTACCTATTTTGCCAAATGTTAACCTCATATTTATATATATATATAAATATTATGATCTGTATTAAGTTGTCATCCATTTTTGCTTATACTTTTATAATCAGTGAAATGAAGGATGGCGATCCAGAGAAGTGGGCGGGGCCCAATGGGATCAGCTATACGGATGCAAGTGACGTCCTGCAAACCACCATCAGCTCCTCTGCACAAAGCCCCAATGCAGCAAACAGTAGCACAGACGCCGAGTGTTAACAGCAAGTGGCGCTGCAAGGACAGCTGCATTATTTGCACAAAACCATGCTTTCTAAATTTATTTCATATTCAAAACCAACCGTTCATATTTTAAATGAATATAGAAAAATAATTTCATCATTTGAAGCTTGAAAAAAAAAAACATCTTACCAGATGACACATTTTTTTCCTTTTAGTGTAAATGTACTGTAGCAGTAAACACAGGGTGTTTAGACTAATATTAGAGACATCAGTCATACGCTTCAGATTCATTAAGCACAGTAGTTGCTATTAGATTCATCTTGGATTCATGGACTCAAGACCTGAGTCACATTTCCATAAGAATGCAAGCAAGGAATCTTTAATGATGAAGAGTGTAATTTCTGTGCCACTAGCAGCAGAATTTGAGCGACCTGATCAAGGAAATCCTGGAGAAATGATCGGCTAACTGTCCCATTCATCTCAATTCATCTGAGACGGAGCAGAACCTCACGGATGTACGTGATTTATGAGCTGCCATCTTTGCAACCTTTGAAATCCCCCTCATGTCATTCCAGAGCTGTACAACTTTCTTTCTCCTGACGAACACAAAAGAAGATATTTTGAGAAATGTCTTGTGTTTTTTTTCCCACACAATGGAAGTCAATGGGGTCCAAAACATCACTAGACCCCGTTGACTTTCATTGTACAAAAAGCAGTTTCTTCCCTCAAAATATCCCTTTAATAAATATGCATTTTGCATGCTAACAAGTCAAACCTTGATGCCTTGTGCCCAATTGACAACACTGGCTCAACCAATGGCGTGAGTTTAGGTCAGGACTACTTGTTTTAACAATGGCAGATGCCGCTAGTGGCACAGAATATACTTCCGATTCAATGCAAAGCAGTAAAACAATCCTGACAGAATCACTGCACTGCACATCATGGCACCTTTGCTGTTACAAAAAAAGGTCCTAAGTGTGAACTAGACTATCCAAATTAATCAAGAGATGCAATTATAAGCCATTCAAGCGATTCTTTCCGTAAAGAGGAACTGTTGTGGTCTGTTCTGTCTACCTCTTAAGACGCACTCACCTCTTGGGGATCGAAATCGCACATCCTAGATGTTAGGAAAATGAATACCATCGAATCATGGAGGGCTACGCGTACCCATGTCTTCCAGCCATTTCCAAAACTTTGCACTGCATGAATGCACTGTAGAAAAGTTTGGCTTTGATCGACAGTTGCGTCTTGGTTAGATCCGCTCACTAATTCTGAGCTGTTCCAATGCAATGTCATCTGCAAATTGTAATATTGTGCAGGATCAGGCTGCCTTTAATAACTGCGAATATTTGCCTTGTGACTCCTCTTGACTCGAAGTGGATCATGTTCATGGTACGACGTGGAGAATATTAATGAGACTGTAGGGTTCTGGCCATCTCAGTTGTCCTGGTCTTATTGCTCAGCTAACACAGGGAACGTTCTAGAACTTTGGCTTATGAACAAATGTTTATGGTTATGAACAAATGTTTTATCAGTAACATTAATAGAACGTTCGTTCAATGTTATCTAGTCTTTAATAATGTTCTAAAAACATTAGCACAAAAGACGTAATTTATACGTCATTCATGGAACTTTTTTGTTTTGTTTTGTTTCAGTTGGATGTTTTGCTACTTACTACTTGTTTCAGAACATTCAGAGAACATTTAAAGTAACGTTCCCATAATGTTTGCAAAATGATCAAATGGAATGCATAACCAAAACACTAAACAAACTGAACATTTTGAATGTCAACCCTCTGGGCCTCTTTGGTCGGAACTGACCGTAAAATTCAATGTTTTGAATTTTAAACTTTTTTTTCACTTCATCGGAATGAAATGACACTTGTTGACTTTTGTCGCATTAGCTATGTGAACACACACACACACAAAGCATGGACGTGATTCGGATATATTAAAGAGTTAAAAAAACATTTACTTGGTAAAAAATGACAGTGGAAAAAATAGCTCATAAAAATTGTATAAATATTGCATAGTACCATAAAATCCAAAAATATTATTGAACAAAAATCTATTACATTGACTTTCCTGAAAAACAAGTTATATTTGAAGGCTTGGGTCATTTTTGACCACAAAGGTACCAAGTGTGACCCAAAAATGAAGAGGTACAGAGGGTTAAAAGAGCATTCAAAAATAACATTTTTATAGGAATGTCAACAAAACGTTCTCAAAATATATATTTGTTAGCTGGGTGGTCTGATGTCTTTGATATCAGGCTATCTGCAATAATATTTGACATGGCTGATAATTATGGTTGCAATTATGTATCACTTGTCAGAAAATCTGAATTGTTTTATTATATATTCTTGTTGTCACAAGTGATTCTAATAACCCACGTTGACGTGACTCATTTACACTCTTTTTTAATGTAGGAGACTTGTTTAAATTGCTCCTTGATATTTCACCACTTCTGGAATGTGTTTTGGCCTTACTGTATGCACCACTTCTTCCTTTTCAGCCTTATTGGAGTGTAGGCTTGATTTTCTATAAGTACTGAGAGGTGACTGATCTGACTTGTGATCTTGAAATGAGTGTGTTTTGAAGCTTAAACTGAGTGTACCTGTTTTTATTTAAATTGATCTGAATCTCCCTCTTCAACGAATAAACTTATGAAGAAATACAGACTGTTTTCTGCACCCTTTTTTCTATTTTTCAAACATGCATGTCAGCGTTACATCTCATCATTAAGCATTAAAAGCTCTTTTTAATAAAATCTTGCATATGCAAGGACACAAAAATTTGTACCTTAAACAACATGCAAGTTTTTTCAGTAGTTGGTTTCTCTTAAGTAATTGGTCTCTATTGTCTAAGAAGGGACTTTGAGTTCAGTTTAAGATTGTGCAGTTAAACAAAATAAAGTGCAAAACATTACAAAGAGTGCATTGAAATATAGATGAGAGCATTAGCAGGTAATGCAACTGGATCTACCAGTGAGAAACAGAACCTGGATGTGTGCAGAGAAGAATGGCAGGAGTTGACAGTGAAGTATGCAAACTTTCAGGTTGGAGTAGAGAGTACAGCATAATCATGCACATATAACGCTGGCCTTAACTTTTAATGAAGCTTGGTATAGTAAAGGTGATCATATTTCTGAAATGGAGACATTTCCTATTTCAGTGGTCAAAATATCATTGAAATCTCACTTGTTATATATGAATTACAAAATGAGGACAATACATTTTTGAATGTTTTGTGTGTGTGTGTGTGTGTGTGTGTGTGTGTGTGTGTGTGTGTGTGTGTGTTACAATTGTTATAATTAATAAGTTTTATGATGTTTGTGGGCCAAATCACACTAAAAAAAAACAGCAAATGGTAACCACTGCCAATAGCAAACAGAATAAAACAAAATTAGGACTTTTAGATTTTTTTGGGATCATAATTGACTTTTCATGGCATTTTATCATACTTCTGAATTAGTGCGTCATAATTTTGACTTTTTATTTCATAATTTTGACCCTTTTTTTTATCATTTTGACTAACGGAATATTCATTTATATGTCGGAGATTGCGTAGTTCTGTCGTAATTTTGTAAATGGTATCATAATTTCGACGATATCATAATTTTGGCTTTTTCGTTATTATTTTGACTGCATATCCCAGAATTTTTGTCATGTCATAATAATTATGATATAGTATCTCATAATTTCAACAATTTACACAATAATTATGACTTATGTCATAATTTAACTAAAAATTCGAACTAAAACCTTTTTATTTCATAATATTAATAATACATAATATATTCATAATAATGTATCTCAATTTCGACAATGTCATGATTATGACTTTTAATGTCAATTTTTGTTTTATATCTCAGTATTTGTACTTTTTATGTCCTAATTTTGACTTTTTCTCACATTATTATGATATGGTATCTCATAATTTCAACAATTTGCCCTAATTTTGACTTTATATCTTAGAATTTTAACATTTTTGTCATAAATTCAACTTTTCTCTCATTATTATGATATAGTATCTCATAATTTCGACAAATTCATAATTATGACTTTTTATGTCAATTTTGGATTTATATCTCAGAAGTTTTACATTTTATGTCGCAAATTCGAGTTTTTCTCTCATAATTATGATACAGTATCTCATAATTTTGACAATTTGTCATAATTATGACATTATATCTTAGAATTTTTACTTTTTATGTCCTAATTTTGACTTTTTCTCACATTATTATGATATGGTATCTCATAATTTCAACAATTTGCCCTAATTATGACTTTATATCTTAGAATTTTTACATTTTTGTCATAAATTCAACTTTTCTCTCATTATTATGATATAGTATCTCATCATTTCGACAAATTCATAATTATGACTTTTTATGTCAATTTTGGATTTATATCTCAGAAGTTTTACATTTTATGTCGCAAATTCGAGTTTTTCTCTCATAATTATGATACAGTATCTCATCATTTCGACAATTTGTCATAATTATGACATTATATCTTAGAATTTTTACTTTTTATGTCCTAATTTTGACTTTTTCTCACATTATTATGATATGGTATCTCATAATTTCAACAATTTGTCATAATTATGACATTATATCTTAGAATTTTTACTTTTTATGTCCTAATGTTGACCTTTTTCTCTCATAATTATGATATGGTATCTCATAATTTCAACAATTTGTCATAATTATGACATTATATCTTAGAATTTTTACTTTTTATGTCCTAATGTTGACCTTTTTCTCTCATAATTATGATATGGTATCTCATAATTTCAACAATTTGTCATAATTATGACATTATATCTTAGAATTTTTACTTTTTATGTCCTAATGTTGACCTTTTTCTCTCATAATTATGATATGGTATCTCATAATTTCAACAATTTGTCATAATTATGACATTATATCTTAGAATTTTTACTTTTTATGTCCTAATGTTGACTTTTTTCTCTCATAATTATGATATGGTATCTCATAATTTCAACAATTTGTCATAATTATGACTTTATATCTTAGAATTTTTACATTTTTGTCATAAATTCGACTTTTTCTCTCACAATTATGCTATAGTAGCTCATAATTTCGACAATTTACGTGAAATATGAA